CGGAGCAGGGCCGTGCACCATCGGGCGCTGGAAGAGAAAAACAGCGTCAGTAATTCCTGGGCAAGGCTTTCCCTGTCCCTTCCCCCAGCTCTCCCCCATGCAACACCTCTCTCTCACCACCACGGCTCCCACGTCTCGCTCTCTGTCCTGCCCCTCAGCTCCCCCCCAGACTGCCTCTCTGGGGACCTCTCTCCATCCCCAGCGCCGCTCCTTGCTGGCTGCCCCCCCCTGCGGAGAATGAACCCCTCCCCCTGCCCGGGAGGTCTGCGAATGTTGGGCAGAGCTGCTTTTCTAGGTCTCGTCAAACTGGGAATTGTTCTCGGGCCCGCAGGCGGCCGGACTCGCTCCCCGCACTGGCCCCCTCCGCCCTCACGTGCTGCCAGCCAAAGTCTGCTCCTCGCCCGGGAGCCAACCTCCCCCGGCGGGCGGCTGCGGTGCCGCTCACAGAGGGCGGGGGCAGGTGTGGCCCCAGCGGCTAGAGCCTCGGGGAGCCCCCGTCCCAACTAAACGCGCGTGCGGCCCAGAAGAGGAGCCGACGGCGGGAAGAGAAAGGTGGGAACTCCTGGATAACAGAGCGGGGAGGGCTCTGGGTTCCCCAGTCTCAACGCCCAGGGGGAAGGGGACCTGACGGAAGCCAGAGGGGACCAGCGGGCACCAGTGGAGCTAAATCGCTGCAGACCTGCCGGGGAGAGCCCACGAGAAGGACTCAGCAGAACTCCCACACAGCTGTGGCGAGCCAACACAGGGATGCGCTGGGGCCGGAATAGCCGGGGCGGTGAATCAGGAGCAAGGGACGCTGGACGAGCTGCAGATCGGGAGTGAGGGGCATTGGCAGAGCATGGGGAGCGGAGGGCGAGGGGTTGCAGGCTTTGGATGGAGGGGCACTGGCAGAGCAGGTAGGGGGGAGGAGGAAACACAATTTCTTAAGGCTAACGAGGGTAGATTGGCAGAGGCCCTGGAGGTTTTTCGCCTTCCTCTGTAGCATGGGGCACAGATCACAGCTGGAGGATTCTCTGCATCTTGGGGCCTTCAAAGTATTTGAAGGCTTCAATATCGGAGATATAGGTGAGAGGATTATTCTAGGAGGGGTGGGTGAGATTCTGTGGCCTGCACTGTGCAGGGGGTCAGACTAGATGATCATAATGGTCCCTTCTGACCTTAAAGTCTATGAGTCTATAACTCTCAGCACCCCCCCACAGATCTGCAAGGAGAAAGCGTTATTTACCGAACTCAATGCTTCTTTCCTTTTGGAGGAGGGCGGAAAGGAAGGAGACTTAATCAAGGGTGAAATTGACATCTGCCTTGGGCAAACAGACCAGACCCCCCCTTGCTCCTTGTTAACTCGCTAGGGAAGCCCGCCCGCATCCAGAAACCAGTCAGAACTGATCATGCGCCGGCCCTGGAAACACATTCATTATTCAGCCTGGCTGTCTCCGGCAGGGCTGCTGATTCCAGCCACCGGAGGGATTTTCTTTGTGAAGGCAGCTTTGAAAGGACCGACGGGACTGAAACAGACCAGACCCCCCCTTGCTCCTTGTTAACTCGCTAGGGAAGCCCGCCCGCATCCAGAAACCAGTCAGAACTGATCATGCGCCGGCCCTGGAAACACATTCATTATTCAGCCTGGCTGTCTCCGGCAGGGCTGCTGATTCCAGCCACCGGAGGGATTTTCTTTGTGAAGGCAGCTTTGAAAGGACCGACGGGACTGACCTCGTGCATCACCTCGCCCGGCCCTCGGCCATTGCGCTCCGCCGAGCCTTCTCCCGCACGACTCCCCCCGGGGCAGCCGCGAGCCTCCCGGAGTGACGGAGCTGCCACCGTCCCCGCGGGACCAGCCGGCTGCCTGTCAGGCGCCAGAATCCGGCTCCCGGCCGAAATGTGCCTGGGCTGGATTTCCCCACATGGCGCTTCCCACCTGCCCGTCTCCCTCTTCCCCGTCCACGGGTGCCCGTGAGACCCGTTCGCTCTTTTGCCCCCTCTGGGCCTTTAGCGAAGGGCAAGATTTAAAAAATGCTCCAGTCCTAGAGGGAACCCGGGTCCTTATTCCTGAGGCCTGCTCTCCTGTCTCAGCCCAACCTTGCGCCAGCCCCTGGCTCCAACAAGGTAAGTCGGGCAAACAGGAGTGGTGAGGCCTGCCTCTTCCGAAACGGGGGTCAGCTACATAGCCCGTGCTGTAGGCTGCTGCCCCTCTATCTTAGTCATCGTCTTCCGTGGCTACCAGCCTGGCACACGCAGAGGCCGTGTGCACGCACACCAGGAGTAACGGGGTGATCACGGAGAACAATCGAACCTGGCGGTGGGCACCCTGCGGCCACCCGTGCGGCTCATGAGACGTGTTCGCCGCTGCCCAGGCTGCTAGATTCCGCGGGCTGCCGTCCGGGTTGTTCTTTC